TCATTTATTTATTTATTTATTTTTTTTCATTTATTTTTGGAACAACTCCCATAAAAAACCATTAGAGCCTTTTTAGCCCATACAGCTTAACTTAGGTTTACATTTTTGCACTTATACAAGTAAATGACAATCAAGTAGGACTTGGTAGAAAAGGACGCATGCTCGTATAATAATATAAGGTTTCGTGGATTATAACCTCGGCTGAACATGGTAAATGGATATTAATGTTAAGATTTTTTACAAATTTATCTCTATTTAGCTAATAAAGTTCGCATTGCCACAATATTTAATTTAGGTTTTCTTTAGATTTACCGCATTTACAATAAGGATCATTAACAATTTGAATGCGATGAAGAGATTCAGCTGAATCGTAATCATTTGATCTAAGTCTGTTTATAGTGGTAATAAATTTTCAAGGAAGTTTCTCGTTTGCATACCAAGGTTTTCTTACATTTTATAATAATTATTAAAAGAAATAATACCTTTTCATAAGCCTTAGTGCCCTACTAAACTATTGGTTGATTCATATACATTTGACTCTTAAATTTTTCAGTAAGATCGGTAAAAGGAATTTTGTCAATATCAAGAGAGTTTTTGTTGTTGATTGTTTTGCTAGTTGGTCCATTTTTTCATTGTCTCTGATTCCCATAGGCGAGGGTATCCAGAAAAATTTTATAAAAAAGTCCGAATTTCTTTTAAGAAACGTACAGAACTTTTCTCTTATTTCAAATACATAGTTGTTGGCTTTAATATTGAAATTGAAAGATTCTAAACTTAGTAGAGCACTGAGGGAGTTACAGAAAATGGCTGCATTTGGAATGCAATTCGGAATTGCTTCTACTGTGTTGTTAATAGCTAGTCATTCAGCTACGGAAGCCCGTACGGCTCATGCGCGCTCCATGTTGCACGAGCACATACGGAAGCAAAAAATGTGCTTGCTCCACCTAAGGAAGCGCACTTGCACGCTGTGCTGCTTGCTCCTGTTTTAGGAGTCTGTCTACAATGTATCGATGGTTCGTTGCGCTGCGTTACGCTCCTACACGACGTATTGTTTTATGCGCTTAAGGCACATTATAATTTAGTAAAAGCTAACCTATTCTTTTGTTTATAACATCTTAATTGGGGTTTTACTTATTACTGTTCATAATAAAAAAATTAATCATGAGTTTCGAAGAAAACGTGAAGAAATATCCTGAAAAAAACTGTTCTCATGCAGAAGTAAAAGCTTTGCTCGAAAAAGACTTTGAAGTTACTGTGCCATTAATAAAAGTGAAGAGAACTTCGGAGAAGTTGGAATTGAAGAGGAGAAACATAACAGAAAGTAATTTGCGTGATATTTGTGTGGCCATAGTTGAGGAATTAAGTTCAGTTTAGTAAAAAGGCCAGTCTGCCCCCCTACGGGGCAGGGAGATCTCAACGTCGGACGCAATGAGCACGAAGAGTTGGGTAAAAAATTCTTTGAGGTTATAAGGTACATATTTAATTAAAAAATCGTGAAGCTAAGTGTTGATCAGTATTTTTATTAATGAAAATAATGACATAGATTTATTTTATTTTACAACCTTTTTTCATCTTATTTGATAAAATCACTTTGATTTCGTTGAGAGATTTAATTACTCTTTGGTATTGAAATAATCTATAATAATATATAAATAATAATAATAAATAATTCTAATTGTTTGACTCGGAGTTTAAAAACAAATTAAAATAAAATAAAATTTTCGCAAGGTTCATCAAGTGCTTTGTCAAGCTCACCAGTTTTAGATTGCACTACAAAAGTACCCAAGGGAAAAGGATCGTTAAAAATCGAATAATGTGAAATGTTATTTGGAGTTTTCTCTTGATTGACAGTAGTTAATGGCTGCCTGGGCAATACATTATCAGCAGGCATCTTTTGAGATGATTTTTTGTGCAGCTCTACAGGTTTTTTCAATAACACATCAGACTTGATTGGCATTTTGCTTCCCTTCTTCTCCTTGGGCTCTATTTTTAGTAATGTAAAAATGAAAATATTCCTAAATCCTCAAGTCACATTACAGGCTGAGATGAATTATTGATGTTTTAATTGGTACATTACCAGTTTCTGATTTAAAAGGATGTGTTACACCAAGTTTAATGGCAAAATCGTAAGCTAATTGCCTTAACTCCATTGATGACAGCCCCATCAATTTTTTTTCCATGTCAAGCACGTAATCGCAAAGAGCTTGTTCCTGCTCATGAGAAAATACTTTTTGGAACCCTGAATAATATTTACATTACAAATAAAAACGTGCACAATTTATTTAAATATTTTAATCTATTGACTTACCAACACTCATTACACTTGGATTTTTTAATCTTCTTCCAAGGGTCGTTCTAGGTACACCGAACTTAGTAGCGGAACTTTTTATCGATTTACCACTGGGTACATAATCAACAGCCAATTGCAACTGACCATCGATCCACCCTCTTCTCTCACTTTTTCTTTTGTAATTATGGACCATCCTAGTCATTAAAATTTTAGCACAAGTTGAGAAAAAAACATCCTTGGAAAACGAAAAGTTGGGTCAGAAAATTGTAAACAGTTGGCTTGACACTATAGTTGCCACTAGTCGCCGTGCTCATCCTGCCCTTCCCGTTGATGTCCGCCCTGCCCTCTTCATGTAACTTTTTAATTTCAATATAATTTTTATACTGCATGTCGTACGATAATAATTCGAGTAGCTGATAAAAGCTCTTGAATGGCACTTTTTACTGCAATACAATTTGAAAACATGAATTACATAATTTTCCTTCAAAAAATTCTTACAAATTTTCGACGGCACGTACATATCAAGTTCAAAGTTTCTAATAATTCTAATTACTTAATTATTACTCTTTCAGTCGAAAAAGTTTTTGAGGATTGAAGCTAAACTATTCATTAACAAGGAAAAAAAAATCCACAGGCTGAAAGTTATTTATTTGATTGTAATCCAGGGTGACAAATTTACCCGCTGAACCTACTCTGCCCCCCTCTCCCTTACTAGGAATCAGAGGATTAAAACTTTTTTGGGGAAAATGCGTCAAAATTTTGCCGATTACTACATACAATTTTTCAAAGGCATGCAAGCAAAAAATTTATTTGATGGTTCAAAACTTCACATTCAATGTTTACAGTATTGTTTTAGACATCTGATACAAGCTGATTTGCAATTTACCAAGGAAATGTGGAATTACCATACTGTGAGAAAACAAAAAGTTTGAAATAACATGGAAGGAAGACCCTATGTTATGTTTCGCTTGCCAGAGAGGAATCAGGATAAAGACTACAAAAAAAGTGTAGATGTGCAAGTAGTGCAAGAATTGATGGATAAATTTACATCCAAACCAACTCTAATTAGTCCCCTTATCAAAGAACTGATCAATATTTTAGTACCCAATCACAGTATTCCAAAAAATACCGAAGAGGCCCTTGACTTATACAAGAAAGTACTGGAGGCTGTAAGAAACCATCATACAGAAGATTTGTGATAACCTTTATTGTAGTGGTTCAAACAATAGCTATACATGTGTTATATATCAGTGAAGTAGTAGCAAGTTAGTAATTATAGTGTCAATCATTTAATGGTTTTTTTTTCCCATAACTATAGTAGTGTAAATTTTGCAAATTATTGATAACTTATGAATTGTTAATAATATTCCATGAAGAAACCGATCATTTAATCATGAAAACGTACACCTGCACTGCAATAAGCTTGGGGCCAAGGATGGCCAAGTCTCTAAACAGAGGGATGACAGGTTGCAGTTTGTTTTTGTGTATTGGATACTTCCAAATAATACGTTGTGCATTGTGTTGTAAAAATAAATTTTATTTCATTTGTCATTTTGTTTATCATGCGAACACATGTATTACAGGTGAGATCTGTTGAAATATAACTACTTTACTGAAATTATATATGTTATTAATGAATTTTTTTTTAACACTATAACCAACAATCCTTTCGATCCTTACATAAATTTAAATGTTACACAGGTACAAACAATTATTTAACCGACAATACTTGTCTAAAAACATTACATTGTCTCTTTATAACGTGCATGTATTAACCAACATCCTTACAACCAGCATACTTTACTATACACTTCCATTAACATATAGTCTAATTGACTGGTTGTCCACTAGAATTTTAATTTAATGGTAAACTGAATTAACTATTATCATAGTATCACAGTGTAACATTAAAAAGACTCATTTTTTATGCTAATTAGTTTTCATCTGAAAAATCGGAATCGGAACATTTCAATACATCTAGTATTGTACTTGCTTTTGGTCGATTGTCTGGCCGATAATAAAAACATTTTAATATTTTTTTTAAATCATTGGGTACATAACTCATATCAGGTTTTTTGTTTTGAATCAGTATAGCTCTTAATGTATTAAACAGACCACACATCATATCATTGTTTGATACAGTCCAGATTGATTTTTCTGAGAAGATCTCAACAATCACACAGCCCAGTGCCCATATATCAGATTTTACTGAATGGGACTGCTTGTCAACAATGATCTCAGGTGATAAGTACAAAGTCGTACCTTTCGGGTGCGAGCCTACAGTTGAATTTAGCTCCGAATGTAGTCCTTCGAATCGACTTAGCCCAAAATCAATTAATTTTACCTCACAAGCTTCATTGACAAGTATATTCTCAGGCTTGATATCTTTATGAATGACACTAGGTGTCAAATCATGAATAAAACTAACAGCCATACTGATTTTTTGTGCTATAATAAGTTTTTTCTCTCTCGTCAAATTAAATGATCTTTTTGTGACGGGATTAAACAGTACTTGTTTTAAACTTTCACTTATAAATAATTCTGTTATGATAAAACAGTTCATCGGATCTGCAGATCAATGAAATCAGGTTTGGATGTCTTAAACGAGAAAGTGTTAAAATTTCTCTCTTTGAGTATTTGTAATCATCCGTTACTTTAATTGTTTTTATTGCGACGGGGGTGTTTAACCACATTCTTTGGTTTACATAGCCAAAAGCTCCTCGCCCTAACTCTTTGCTGAGCATTGTAAAGTCATCCCGCTGAATGATAGGTACAGGTATTTGCAAATCTGATAAAAAACAGGTCCAAGTATCCATAGGTTTTCGCGACAAAGACTCTTTGATCGCAGAAACTTTCTTACTAGGCAGCACATCCGCTTCTCCAGAAGGAGTTGCGTCTGTACCTTGGTCTGTACTATCATTTTTACTTTTGCCATCGTTCTCAGCTGTTTTTTTTTTTTTGTTTGGGAAAGCAAGTACAGTTTTAACTGTCTGTTTGAAGCTTTAAGGGCTCGGCTAGCAAACTCCCAAAAATCACCGATATTACCTCTACTATCAGAAAAGTCTTCGAACATCATATTATCAAACCATCCTAAATAAACATCACTGGTTTCAAATAAGTCTTTGTTATTCTTTTGAATCATTGCTTCAATGCAGAGTTGTAGAATTTCATCGTACGAATACTTTTTTCCTGCATCTAACTCAATTTTCTGCAATCCTCCTAAAGAATACTTCATGAGCGTAAACTTCGTCTCATTTTTAAACTGGTGTTTCCACCCTACTGTCAAATTTTTAAAAGTTTACATTTTTGCCACTTTGCTCTTGGGAAGGGTTGCATCACGTGGACTTGTGGAACTTGAGCTGTTAATCATTGACAGGATATGATCGACCCTTTTTTTGTTCCCGCTTTGGAAAGGACTTCCTACAAATAATTAGCAATCAAGATTTGACTGAGAAATATTTTAATGTAGCTATACGAGTATCAACTTACTATTAGTGTTACTCGAAGGATTAAATCTCGGAGTAAATACTTGATATTCGTCAATGTTATTGTCAAGGATAATTTTGTTATCTTTAATGAATAACCCTATCACGTCGCCGTTTTGTATATATGTTAATGAAGTTGCTTCTGGAAAATATAACTGTAACGTTGACAATTCCAACTTTCCATTTATAACCTCCAATTTCACAGATACGTTGTTGTCTACAACTTTCACGTAGCGAGACATGTTTGCCTATGATTCTTAATAGAGTATTCAGAAGACATTAAACAACTCAAGAAGGACAAGAACACTAATGTTAGTAACAAACGATAGGTTAGCTTTTACTAAATTATAATGTGCCTTAAGCTCATAAAACAATACGTCATGTAGGAGCGTAACGCAGCACAACGAACCATCGATACATTCTAGACAGACTCCTACAACAGGAGCAAGCAGCACAGCGCGCAAGTGAGCTTCCTTAGGTGGAGTAAGCACATTTTTTGCTTCCGTATGTGCTCGCGCAACATGGAGCGCGCATGAGCCATACGGGCTTTCGTATTCAGCTGTATATACGTAATCCTGCGGATCTAAGCTTTGTGCAGAGAATATATTTAAAGTTGGACAATTGAATGTCAAGCCTACAAATTGACCGTTTCGTACTTTACTGCCATCAGTGAAAAATGTTTTGTAGCCATTTTTTAAAATAAAATCGTTAAATATTTTTATGGGGTGAGAAGAGTTTTTAATAGTTTAGCATAGTTCAGTGTTGATTTTAATATTTGTAAAATTAGTTTCAAAGTCTTAAGTGTAGTTGTTGAAGTTTGTTTTCGTGAGAATTTTGTTAAATGCCTTTAATATGTCATGTATGCTTTGAGTAAGTAGCTGTGTGGATATGTGAGGTTTTTTTTTTAATTTTAAAGAAGTTATGAATGAAATGGTATGTCGACGTTGAAGTATTTGAGATTATTTTTGTGAGGTATGTATAAGATAGGAATTTTATTCTATCCTCTATCAAAACCAATTTAGATTCAGCGTTTAGAATGTCAATAGGCGTGCTTATCTTATACCCAAGAACTGTTCTGATGGCAGTGTTGTGAATTTTTTGTAACTGCGCTTGATATTTTACATTTTTCGTAAAGTAATAAAAACTTCCGTAATCAATTATTGATCTAACGTAGCTTTTGTAAAGAGTTATTAGAATTTCTGGGTCTGATCCCCACCACGTGCTACATGAAAATTTTAATATGTTTATAGCTTTTTTACATTTTTTCTGAACGTGATTAATATATGTGGGATTGAAGAAAGCTTATAGTCGAGAATAAGACCGAGAAACTTTACAGAATCTGAAGAATGTATGTCCACATTTTGTATGTTTATGCTGATTTGGCCTGGAGGTATATTTTTATTTTTAAAATGAATAAGCTTAGTTTTATCGGGAGTAAAATCAAGTATTATCAATTATAGGTTATTAGAAACGGTCTTTATAGCTTTTTCTGTTTCATTCTTAGAGTAATTTTCAGAACTAAATTTTACGTACAAGGCAATATCGTCTGCAAACTGAGATATTCCTATAGATTCTGATACACCCTCCAAGATTTTTGAAACATATTTTATGTATAAAAAAGGGCTAAGCACCCCCCTTGAGGCACACCTTAGTAGGTCATTTTATAATTATCTCCAAGGAAATCCGTATAAATGCGCTTTTTCCTCATGATAAGATTTATGTAATTGACAATACTGAGCGAAGAGCCTTTTTCAGACAGTTTAGTCAGCAAGATATCGACGTTTATGTTGTCAAACGCAGATTTGATATCTAGAAAGACCGATAGTATTTGTTTTCTTTCAAGAAATGCTTCTTCGATTTTAAGGAACAGGTTGACTAGATTGTCAGTACATGAACGTCCTTGTCTGAATCCATGTTAGCTGTATGGTATAGTATTATTTTTTTCAATCCAGTATTATAGTCTATTTTTTACTAGTGTTTTAAAAATCTTTCCTGTACAAGATGTCAAAGCTATTGGGTGGAAACTGATTTTGTCATTCTTATTAATAAAATGTACATATGAGTGCGTCCAAATATCTTGATATGAATTAGTTACATAAATTTCATGAAATGTATCTAAAAGTATAAGCTTGCAATTATAAGGTAGATTTTTAAGTTTAAAATAGCCTACGCCATTTTTGCCAAGTGAAGATTTATTATTCTTTTTGTTTACTGCGACGTTCAATTCTGAAAAGGTAAACGGCCTATCAAAAAAAGAGTTTGCATTAGATTGAGAAATAGTGGATGGATCAGTCTCCGCCCAAAGAGGGCGTATTTTATTTAAGGCTTACGGAAGCCTGTACAGACCACATCACTCAGTGGCGCTCGTGTAGCTCACTTTACTTTATAAGCCATCTGCACTTGTGCTATGTGTATCATTTAAAAAAAAAAAAATTATGTATTTTCATATATTTATTGTTTAATTGATTTACTGTAAAAAATTCTAAAAAGATATTAGAATTAATATTAAATGAAATAACGACATGAATGTTACTAAGAAAAAAAATATGATAGATTTAGTGGAAAAGTACTTTTACAAAAGTATAACTTATGATGAAATCGTTGTGATTCTTAAGAGTCACCATGAGGTTAATATTTCATTGAAAAGTGTGCAGAGGATAACTTCATCACTGGGTTTAAGAAGAAAAAATATCCATGAGAGTGATCTTGAGGAAATTTGTTTTGCCATGATTCAGAAGCTAAATTGTGCAGGTAATAATCTGAGTTATAGATCTTTATGGCACAAATTGAAAAAAAATATGGGCTAATTGTGAAGAGAGATACAGTTTATGATCTTATGCAATTTCTGGATGCTGAGGGCTTAGAAAATCGAGCTGCTCACTGACTTCGTGGACTAGAGTATGTATCTCCAGGACCAAATTTCATCTGGAATTTGGATGGCTACGACAAGCTCAAGCCATTTGGATTTGCTATACATGCTTGTATTGATGGTTTTTCAAGATACTTAATATGGCTGGAAGTAGCAACAACAAACAGCAATCCAAAAGTTACTGCTCATTATTTCTTAAAATAAGTTCTAAAACATAAATGTGTGCCAGCAATAATTAGATCTGATAAGGGTACTGAAAACACTCTAATTGAAACATTGCAAGTTAGTCTGCGTACTGATGATACTGATAAGTTTGCTGGTAAAAACAGTTATATAAAGGGAAAAAGAGTCCACAATCAACGTCTTGAGTCCTACTTGGGTCTGTTAAGAAAACACTCTGCAGATTTCTTTATCAACCTTTTCAAAGATATGGTCAATAAAAACGTGTTTGATGGCAGTGACATTCATAAACAGTGTTTGCAGTTTTCATTTGGTGCCATAATTAAGGAAGAATTGGGATTAACTCAAACTCTGTGGAATGAACATAGAATAAGAAAACAAAACGTTCAACATAATTTTCCAGGTGTACCGTATGTTTTGTACAACTTACCCCTGAAATACAACGTTAAAAATTGCAAAATAGAAGTTAATAATGATGTGACGCATGAGCTTTTGGAAACGTTTACAGAAACTCCTCACATAGTTGATCCATTCTTTGTAACTGAGGTATTAAAAAAAATCAAACTGTAAGCAGCCCACTGATATTGACGTAGCAACATCATTGTATGTCACTTTAGTAAAAATATTTGATAAGTAAAAAAAGTTTCAGCCATTGCACCGTTACTGTAAGTGTAAGATAAATCAAAACCTTTTAAATTATGATCAAAATAATTATTATATTACCATGACTATACTTAATATTTATAATTTTTCGAGATACTATGTTATATTGAATTTAATTTATAGTCCCAGGAAGGTGTGACATCAAACAAGTTTCTGTCGAAGGATCTTGTTTAAAATAATTTCTTTTGCCTAAGACCTTTTGCAATGAAGACTTACTTTAACGGATGAATACAAAGA